CCGCTCTGGCTAAGAGCGGATGCTTCGCGGACGCGTGCCAAATGTTCCCCTGGAAGATATGTTTGCGGTTTTGTCCGATGCTGAGGAGGAGGTGCGGGACTTGTGACAAATCTCGCACCTCGTGGGCGAACTTCCACCCTCTTTCCACAAGCGAATATACCGCCACAGGTCCGCCCTATGGGCAGGTTGCTGAAAGCTCTCATAGCGCGCGAGGAGAGCAGACCCGCCCAGGCTCTTGATGTCTTCGACGCACTCTGCGTCTCCCACAAAATGTCTTTCCAACCCTTGGGCGAACTGTGCCTTATTGGCTGCAGCTTGTGGGTGGTCCTCTCATCATGATCAGAAGGTACGACTGGGCCCTCCTGAGAACACAAAGAGTCTGTGAGAAGGTCCACCCTGGTGTCAGCGTGGATCGTCGGGCCGTCGGAAGGGAGTGGAAGACCGGAAAGACTCCAGCGGCATTTTTCACGCCATTGAACGTACGGGTACCTCTACCCCCAAGGCTACCGGGGCAGATTTTCTGTCTTTGGCTGGCATGCGCTGGAGGTTTCTGAGTGAGTGGTTCCGGTGGGGTTGGCTTGGGGGTGCACTGGTGAGAACATGATCTAGATCCCCCAGTGGGTCAATGCACCAGGTTCTAGTTCTTTAGTGACGCACTAGGTACTGGTTTAACCGGTGCTTCAGCAAAACGGGAGCTGGAAGCTTGAAAAGGCTGTGAAAAACCGTGAAACAGGATGAAAGGCTGTGAAAAACTGGTCTTGGAAGTTGGGAGGTGAAATGCGTCCTTTATGCTACACCAGTTTAACCCGTCCTTCTTACGATCCATGAGGCACCCTGTGAGTTCTCCTTTGTGAGTGTGGAGAGGAAGCTCAACAGCAAAATCTTCAAGATGGACGTGACCTTCCTGTTTGTCCGGGACTGGCTGTGCATTTTCGGGCAGAACAAGGTCACATCCAAGGAGGCCCAGGCCAGGCCAGATGGTGAGGTTTTTTCTTCTTGCGGTCATTGTTCCATGATGTCCCATGCAACTGGTACTGGATCGTACCAGACTATCAGGTGTTTGCCATGAGAAGTCACCGCATTGCGGGTTGTCATACATTGTGGCCAATCTTGGGGTTCATTGTGCACTCACTGAACAAGGCCTTTGATGGCTGTGGCCAGTCCGGTTGCAAATTTTCAGTCTCAGAACTGAAAAGAGATTGGGTCTGGCTCAGGAAGGTGCTACGATTCGGGCCATCGTACACAGGCAACCATGTGTGCTTCTTGTGTCACGCTACTGTTCACCTTCACAGCTCACCATTCTGGGACATGGAGGGAAACAACCAAGAGGTGTCTACAGAGAATTATTTGACCACCATGATGGATCCTCACTGCCCGCCAAGTCCTTTGGTCCTGATCATAGGATTTTGCCCTGGTATGATCCAAGTTTGCTCGATGCACACAGTAAACTTGGGGCTGTGCTTTACGACGAATGGTGCATTGCTGTGCACCCTGTTGAGAAACGGATTTTACGGCCCCTCCAATCGCTCCATTGACGCGTTGAATGAGGTGTTTGCAGACTTCACATGTTGGAGGAAAAGCATTGGAGTCAGATCTAGTCAAAGGCGTTTCAAACCTTCGATGGTGTCTCAGCTACAAGATGCAGGCCAAAGACCCAAGCAGGCCCTTTACCACATATAGCTGACCTATCAAAAGCTACAGGTCTTTGCACTGCATAATAGTGTGGTTCTGTATTGCGCTTTTTGGATGTAGGGTGTGAAAGGTAGCCCCAAACACACAGGTCCTTTACTGAAGTCTTGGACCTGTGAGCTCAGCTCAGGTTGACCAATATGGGCATGGGTCCTACCTGACGGCCAAAGCCTGGAACTCCCGGGTTTTGCTGGAGTGGCTGCATGATGCCTCCCTGCGCGCAGCCACAATGGACTTTCCTCAAGAGACTTGTTCTTGAGTGTTGCTGGGTTGTTCTTGCTGTGACCTGCTTCGCCAGTGTCTAGATCTGTACTTTGGGAATGGGAGCATGGTGCACCAAGGACAGGCCATTGGGGAGATGGCTTCAAGGTGAGGTGAGTACTGGACGACAAAGCTGGCCGGATGACCCTTTGATCACGCTGAACCCGTTGGCTTCGTATCCTGCCATGCAAATGCTTGTTGATGCCTTTTGGCCATGTCATGATCACATGTCGCAACATGTGTGTCCTAAGGCAAGCTTTGTGCGAGTGGTTTGGCCGGTGTGAGCAAGCTCCAAGGTTCTTGTGATTTTGGTTGCAGTTTAAAAAGGTTTCCTGCAAGGGGTATGTGGTTGTGTTATGCTTTTGGCCACACTTCATTAGGTATTGTGTCCATATCGGTCATTTCCTGGTGCCTAGGTCCCAGGAGCAAGCAGATTCAATCCATGCGGCTGGAATGCGGTTCCTTCGATATCACATCCACCTCCTCAAAGTCTCTTCCAGGAGACTAGAGTTGTTGTTGACTGCTTTGGGGATTGTGAATTCGAAGAATTGTTTGAAGTTTGTGTTTATATGTTCATCCTGTTTCTGTTTTTGTGGGGCAGGATGGGATTGCAGTGCTGGTTTGTAAAACCAAAAATGCATATGTTCAAGCACTTGCTGGAGCGCACCCGCAAGTTCAGATCCTTGATTTGATGATCCACCCTTGTGTTTTCCCATCCCTACAAGTCCAAAGACCCAGTACAACATGGTCCTTTACCTCCTTGAGTAGTGTTTTTGTACGATCAACTTTAGTAAAAATTGACAATTTACATCCTGGTAGGGTTTCCATTGTTGGTGGAGATGTCTTGGTGGTTTCTGTGGTGGTGCATGTGGCTAAGGATACAACAGCCGCTTTGCACACTGCTTCTCGGAGGAGGACACGATAGGGACATTGAAGAAGGTGTCGGCGAGCATCTCTGGCCGTCACATGGAACCCTATCTGTGCAAGATAGCCAGGCTGAGGCCAGGTGTTGAGGATGTTGAAAGAAGTTTGCCATTGTTCACGGTATATTTTGATCTACAATGCCTGTAGGGTTTTGTGGGGACCATTCCTGGTCAGTTGGTTTTGCAGGGCCAATTCCATGTGTTTGCATGTGCTTTTTTGGCACGCGTTTGGTCAGGTTGAGATGTGCAAAGAAGCGCATTTGGAGGACTGCGTTTGGGATGTTTTTTGTTTGAATAAACATGCAGATGTTGGTACTGTGGGTTCGAAAACCTGACGAAAATATGCAAAACCTAGTCCCTCATGTCATTGAGTACAGTGTCGGCATGTTCCATCAAGACTTTGTATCATTTTGCTCTGATTTGGCCTCGTTTGCAGGACCAACATGGAGCAAGCTTGGCGACGCTGATGGAGAGTGGAAAGAAGGGGCGTGTTTCCGATCGTCTCGGAAAACTCGATCCTTTGCACATGACCTCGTTTTACTGGACTCCCGGACTTGCAGGGTTACCAAGTTGTAGAAAATCAAACTGTAGAAATACCAACATCTAAAGGTTGATAAATTCAAAATGATGAGTATGATACACAATATTACTTGTATGCCCTACTAATAGGTTATTACACACAATTTTGACAGTGATGCCATACCAAAAAACAAGATGTTTGGTACAAGTTTTGGCAACTGAGTGTTTATTGGAAGCCCAAATAGTTTGTCGAGCAATATGTTTTGGGCCACACGTGATACCAGACAAAAAAAATCAGTTCATGAGCTGGCAAATTTGCAAATACCAAAGATTATGAACAATATGCTGATGCAATGATTGACAATATGTTTGCGCATAACATATTACTGAAAGTTTCGAAGAGACTGAACACAGAAGAAGATGAACAACAACTAAACAATATCAAGAACTAACATGAACTAACTATATACTTGTAAATACCAAAAACTAAACTAAATTAAGACATACTTATATATATAGACATACTAATGATAGTGTGTTGTCAACATACAACGTAGCATACTTGAATAAGACATATAAACAATCTTATAAAATCATATGTTTGTGTAAAAACAAAACACTGAAAACCACATATTTTGGGGGGCCTGGTGGCATCCCACTCTCTTTCAATTGACCCAACTGGATCGGCAGTCCTATGGCAGTGTCGTGTTTGGGTCATGGTTTCGTGACGTGTTTGGGTCTAACCAAGGGGCCTTCGGCCGAAGGAAGGCCTTGTTGGTGCCTTCTTGGTTGCATGTCGTTTCGCTCGCTTCGTCGTTTCGCTTCGTTTCGCTTCACCTCGTTGCGACACCGGATCTGTTTACTGCTTCACTCGTGCGGCGTCGCGGTTTTTCTGAGGCCAGGGTGAGATGTTGATTTGCCTGGTTGGGTGATGAGGGGAAGAAAGGCGGATTTGGGGTGGTTTTTCCCCCTATAGCTACTAAAATAAGGAAACAAGTCTGGGTTTTTACCCGAACATGAACTGAATAGACGACCTACAGGAGGTGAGTTCTCGGCTCCAGGGGCCCCGGCCACAGCAAAGTGGACTGCGACATGTGAGGCGTGACGCTTGGAGCAAGTCCCAAGTTCTGGTTGAAAGGAACATCGTCACGGTGAAAACCGGTAACAACCAAAAGCTTTGGAGGTGAAAACGAATGTTTTCCTGTACATTGTTTTCTTCAACCAACTATTGTTTGAGCAAGCTTGCTTTTGATGTAGACTCTTGAATGAAGAGGTGTTTCAATTCAACTGGGATGGTTTATCAATCAAGAGTCTACATTAAGCTCATTAAGACTCACTGGGTGGTTGTTCCTTCTGTGCTCACGACGCTTGGCTCAAGCCCTCGCAGGCCCACTGGCCGCAATTGAGAAGGTCTGAAAGAAAGGTGCCCTTAAGGAGCCATACAAGCTCCATGACCACAGTTGGACACATTCGCAGGTCGCACATCTCCTTTCAGCAGTCTTCCAGTCAGTCTCCCTCAGTGGGTACCCGGACATCCCAAGAACACGCATGAACAGTCTGTGGCATATCGGGGCCAAGCCATCGCACAAATGAAAGAAGTCACCGAAGAAAGAAGGTCCACTTGTTTCAGACTCAGACTTATCAGGCTCTCTCAAAGGAGACCCGGGCGCAGGTGGTGGTTGAGACCGCGCGAGGTTTCTTTTTCAGATGGGGTGGCAGTGTGTCGAACTGGCTGAACTTCTTGCCGTATAGATCCGTGTAGACAGTTGAAGGGCAGTTTGGACTAGAAGGGCTTTGTTCGATATTCTTGCCATAGAGCATTGAAGTTTCAACAGAAAAGTGTGTTCGATGTTATTCTTTCGAGTTCTTTCAATTTCTACACAGTTCAAGGATTTGGGCAGCTCCCAAAGGCTCATTGGACCCTCAGTTCGCTAGGGTTTTGACCCTCACAACCAGGGTGAAATGGAGCCTTCACCAACATGCAGGGTCGCCTATATCGGCCTAGATAGACCTTTCCTCTCATGCTTCGCGAACTCTACACAGGTGCCTCAAGATCTTCGGCCGAAGTGGAACCATGAGACGCGTCTTCGTCGACCCTGCAGACACGCGAGTCATCCTGTGTTTCGTGTGTTTCGTTGGAGGTTTTGGAACCCCTGTGGATTTTGGAACACGTGTTTCTCCGTCGCCTCGAACCCATCGAAAAGGCCCGATTCTCTTTCCAAAAACACCTCCCTCGCCTGAGGCACCGTCTCCCGCTCCCGTCTCCCGTCTCCTCTGGTCGAACAGGAGTCGCCTGAGGCCGGCACCATGTGCCCTGAGGCTGGCACCGGACCGGCACCATGTGGGGCACCGGTGGCTCGAGCCGGAGCGAGCTCCAGAGGGGCTGAGTAGGGAGAAGAACCTACTTCCGCACCCTCCAAGTCCGCCTCTTGGGCCTGACCACAGGTGCGTTGTTTCAGGAAGGCACATGGTCAACACCGAAGAAACGCTAGGGGCTTTTAGGCATGAAGATGTTGGGTGAAAAAGATCGATAAAGATCAATGAACCTCGAGTCACATGGAGGGCAGGGTGGTGTGGCTCGTCCCATCTGCCGTGGATGGATCACCTACACCCTCGGAGTCTGCACCCTGTCCGGAATCGCTGGTGCACTGTGTAGCCTGGCACTGTTTCCACTGAAGAACCTTCATGAGCCTGCCTCATTTCGCACAGAAGGCGGATCCCTTTGGAGAGTCGGATCACCAAGTTGCTCGGCCTTGCAGGGGGGTCCACCCCTTCCTGAGCTCGGCGTGCGGTGTTCGGGGTGTCCATGAAGGCCTGAAAGGGCTTGGCTGTCAGAATCCGGGCCCTCAAACACATGGAGTCTGACCACTGGGTGGTAAGAAGGACAGACCCAAGTGTCGCATCCATTTCGGTGGACTCTGACCGTGAACCCCGTGGAACGTGAGGCGATGCCCGGTGGGAAGATGGAGGAAGTATCGCCCAAGTCATCCCACAGGCTGGGCCGATGGGAATGGGAGGTTGACGAAAGCTGGGCAGATGTGTTGCTCTTAGATCGCCAGCGGGGCAGATGGATCTTCGCGTAGTCAGTGACTAGCAGGCAGACAGAACGAGAGATGTGCTTCCAATGCCCTTCGGCCTAATCTTCGAATGGTAGAATCTTCGATGAATCACCTACCCTTACCCTAGCGAACTGAGGCTCCAATGAGCCTCTGGTTACTAGCAATGAGGGTTAATTTGGGCTGCTGGCCCGTTCCGAAGACGCGCTACGACGCGAAGACCGGCCAGCGGGGAGAGTCCCCAACCCACGGAGAAGCCAACGAAACCCACTGGTTTGACCTGCCGTGCTTTTCTACCAGGGCCTTCAAGGGTGGTTAATGGACACCCCTTAACGGCTAAGGGGCTATAAATAGACACCCCTTGGAGGGTCCTGGTATATACACTGCTTGAAATCATCATGGAAGTGTAGTTCACCACGTGTTTGGTCTTCGGGTGTATTCGGAAAATGGTCATCCAAGGGGCCATGTCGTGCCATTGACTTCCATGATTCTTTCAGGGAGTGTGGTGTTGGGCATCCAAATCGTTTCAAACTCGATGTCCACACCAGATTCGTTTGTGCAAGTTTTCATAGATTAGACAAGGTCTGACTGGACCGTTCTGCGCGGTATACCCATGGAGATCGGTTCTCGAAGCGACAAGGACGTGAGTCCATGCGTGTTTGAACTTGAATGTGTCAATCCTACTTGCTCAAGAGTTGGGGCTGGCCCTGTCCCTTCACCTTCTTATGGTATGGCATCCCTCGACTCCCAACAAGTGCTCAGAAAGCACTCGGGAGACTCAGGCCAAAGGGCTTCCCCACAGGCACATTTGGTTGGCCTAGAAGTTCATCCGTATAGGGCTCCAACTACCTGCTGAGAAGGTGGGACTGGGGTGGGTTTGGGGGCTCGAAAAACCTTCTCAGCGTATGGCTGTAGCATGTTGGAGCCCTAATTAGGGAAGATCTTGGAAATCAGGTATTGCCATGAGGGATCTTGAGGGGTCTTCTTCCAATTCCCTGAAGGACGCAGCGATCCCCAGCAAATGATAGAGATATAACATTTGAAACACACATAATATATTAATATGATTTTAAAAATATATAGTCATACATACAGTACAATATTAATGTTAATTAATGTTAATTATGTGTCTTTTCGCATGTCTCCACCCACCTTTCAAAAATAAATAACACTAAAGACACCCGTAACAGTTGATACAAGATGATCACTCTTTTGTTGGACAGGTTTCTGACCCACACACGCTCCCGTATCTGGGATCTCAACATCCGAACCCAAAGTCACCACCCGAAGTCGGACACCGACCCAAGTCTCCTGGCGTTCGCGCCCATCCCGTCTGTTGTGCCCATCCCGTCTCCACGCCGGTCGGTCCTGGAAACCGGTTCCGGCGTAGCGAACGAGGTGATGGTGGTGACGTAGCGCTGGAAAACTCCCGGGGTCATCCGGGCGTTGTCCATTTTCCGGCCCCGACCTTTGGGGGGAATTCTGTTTGATTTGTCGGTCACATGTTGGGGTGAAACCTCCAATAGGCACCCCGTCTTGTGACTCCTGGTGTTTTGATTTGTTTAGCTTTTTTCGTTAAATCCCCGTACCTGGGGAAGATGTGTACACCAGCAGTCACAAGACGGGGTGCTATCGAGGTCAGGGGGCCCAGGGGTGTTCATGATCTGGATGGGACGAGCCACAGCACAGCACCCTTTTGTGACTCCTGCCCAGAGGCTCCTGGCCCGGTGAAGGCTCCATGGAAACCCTGTTTCGATCGGGTTGGGCCATGTCACCCGATCGCGATTCGCGATCGGGTCCTGCCACTGAGCCTAGAAGGGTGGTATGTTGTGTTCTAAACCATAAACCCTAGGCCCTATAACCGTGGTATCCTTGCTTCCCGGTGTTCGCAAATCCACCCTTCGCTTCAACCAGATCCTTCAGCCTGTCAGGGAAGTGGAGGACTCCCCAGAGGTGTGGTCTTCTCGGAGTCTCGGGTGTGGACGCGGTCGCAATGGAGGAAGGTGATATAAGGCATATAAGGCATCATTCACATGGAAAACTCCACATGGACCCTGAAAACCACCGGGTGCAGCGGAAACGGAAAACTGTCGGACTAGAGATCCCATTCCGGTCCATGTGAGTTTGGAGTATACTTCTTCTTAGTGCACGTGCGTTTTGGTCCATGGTTGTGAGTCAAATAGAGCCCCAAACCCTCTGAAGTTCACCTCCTATTTGTTTCTTCTGTTCATTTCCAGTGGTTAACCAAGCTCTCTGGGTGAAAACACCCAGAGCCATATTTGGGCGGTAGAGTACAACCTTGGGTTTTCGAGTTCGTGGAGCCCTCTCCTCTTTGCTCCTCGAATCAGATCGGATGCCAGCGCGAGCGAGCGAGCGAGCGAGTGCACTTGCAGCATCTTGGGTTCGTCACGAGCGAGGAATTTGTATAGGCCTGCTTTCTTTTTTTTAAACGCTTGTGTTTGTTTTTTAGATGTTTTTTTTGTGTTTGGTCGTCTTGATTTCGTCTTGAGGCTAGTGCCAGTCATTGTCCATCTAAAGACGAAGTGCAGCGATAAACTCTGGTGATTTAATCCCATGTTGTTCAGAAGAGACAATGTCATTCTTCACATGAAATCACATTCAGGAATGTTCATCCAATTAATATGATCCAATCACCAACTCCTCAAGCAATTCTTGGTTTCTCCCATTCCTCCTTCTTTTCCCCAGAAATCGGCTTCGCCTCTCTCCTTCGAAGGCCGAATCCAGCCCCGAGGCATGGCCGCGACCCGTTCGGCTCCGCATCCGGGGTGGTTTGGGACTTTGAAGGACCAGTCGGGCTGAGAACTGAGCGTCTGGGTAGCAAAACCACAGGAAAACCTCGTGTCAAAAGGCGATTTCGGGTGTCTCCCTATAGTGAAATACCTTATTATGGAAAAACAACCTGCTTTGGCTATGGGTCAAAAGGCAGACCCCTGATCCCTCGTAAGTTTAACCTGCTTAGTAGTCTAGTCTGTTCATGTTCGGTTCCCCCATTTGATCTTGATGAAGCTGAAGTGTTACTCGGTCCTGTTGCAGTTGGAGCTCCGGGTGTCCGAAAAGGATGCGCCATCCTGCGCAGCACGTAACGTCGATCGGTCGATGTCTCCACCGCGTCGTTGTCTCGCAGCTCGCCGCTCGTTGGACAGTGAACGTGGCGTTCGGTCTTTCGGTCCAGGTCATCGGTGAGTGAACGAGCGGTTCGGAGAACGGTTCGAACGGCACCCCGGTCCTCAACCTGACCTGCGAACACGCCTGCATGCGAAGGGTGGAAGACGCCCTATAAGCAAAACATAGCAAAACCATACTGCCAGACTTCCAGGGAAACTGGCGGAGTCCAAAAAACAGAATGTTGATTTGGCACTCGGTCCCTTTGCATGCTGATGCATGCTGATGTATTTAAGTTATTTAAGCGTGAAGCACATGTGAGGCATTTCTCTCGGAAGCTCATGCAGTAGCTGCATAGCTGCAGATCGGGCAAGTGATCCAAGCATGTTCCTACCCTTTCCATCCATTTGCTGAACTCTGCGACCTGTTTTGACGGTCTGAACCACTGGGACACCAGTCGCCGCACTCGGCGAAGCATCCCTCACTAAGCCCTTAAGTTCAACAGTGTCCAGGAGTCTCTTCGCAACCCCAGGGGACTGGAAGTAAACATCGTCACATCGGCAGTCAACGCCCAGACGCTCCGTGAAAAACAGCCCTTGGTCCCGAACCAAACCACAGGAATTGGTGAGAACCCCCCAGACCCCTGACCAGTTCGGATTCGGGTTTGACTTCTCAGGATTCGGCTTTCGGGTCGCATCTGGGCGCTACTTCAGTGTCACTTTCAGTCCTCACCACGCTACTTCTGTCCTACTTCAGGTCCACGCCCTCCGACTCGCCGACACTCCCACTCCCCACACTCTTGGTTCCGACGAACACCGTGGGTGGCCGACGGAACCCTCTGGGCCAGCTCATCAATGTGCCCTTCGAAAAGTTGCCCGCGTGACCCGGCACCATCGCGCGCGCGCGTGAAAGCCGGGGGCTTTTCGGGGGAAAGGATGGAGGAGTTCGTCGGAGGGAGGAGATCGTCAGACTCTTCGTTCAAGCAGATGTTTAAATGAACAGATCAGACTCTTAGTTATATAGGTCAAAAACACCCCCCTACAGTATATGAAGAGGTTGAAGTTAGTAACCGCCCCCATATATGTAAGAGGTTTTCAGCTCGCTCAAAAGCCGCATGTTGGGGGTGCAATTGGGGTGCAGGCTTCACCACCCGATTGTGATATCTTTTGAAGCACCGAGTCGATCTGCACCGGAAAACGGTCCAAGACGGTGGTTTGGGAGCAGTGTGTGAAGCAATTCAGCGTTTGCTTTGGATGGTTGGATCCTTTACGGATCGCTCAAGCTGGAGTCAAGCTGGTTTGCTGCAAGGATTGTTGGAGTCGTTTACAGATCGGATCATGGGCCGTTCGTCTTCAGTTGGAGGGGTGGAAGGTCCACCAAAATTGATTGATTCAAAGGGTTTCAATCGATTTCACACGTTGAAACCATTTCAGAATGATGTTCACAGCCTAAAGCGCCCCATTACTTTCTGTCGCTTGATGTAGTTTTAGTCGATGGTTTGAAAACAACTGCGGCTTTGGACCTTCAGTACTGCAACCAAGGAGTTTTCAAAAATGTTCAAACAATGTGTTTAGGCACCGTCTTGCGCCGTTCATGATCTTTTGGGCGTTTTGGGGGGGAAGTGTCATCCATTGGGTCATCGGTCCATTTCCCCGTTCAGATGTTTTTTTTCGCTGAAACGATCAACAAAAAGACATACCAATTAGGAAGACGCTATTAATTAGTATATTGATGCTCCACTTCAGTCCTCCAAGAATCTTGAGGTTCAGTATGGGCTGTCATACAAAAACAAGATGGATCTTCTTGGGGAAAAATAGCACCCCTTTCTATTCACACTGTTCAATCCCCGTGATTCGCGCATGGATTGTTGCATGTGATGGGTCAAGGTTGCTAGAACTGGATCTTTGGAGAAACTAATTCTATGCAGAGCCAGCAATTGCAGCCTGGAAGTCAGCGTCACTGCGCGTCACTGCAGAGATCTGGGACACCCAAATCGGAGCGCATTCGCCCGACCAAACAGTCCTATTTGTTTACTCAAATCCGTCTCGGAAACAAAACTGCGATTCGATGGCTAAGGTATCCTTTCCCAGCTGACATCCAACTAAAGTTGGATGATGCTTCCATTAACGTGACTTGGCTGGGCAAGACATGATCTTGACGAGGTTGGATGTAAAGGATATGTTCTTTTTTCCATTGCAACGGTCGGAAGATCGAAGTCTGTGGCTGCGAAAAAAAACATATGATTTATCAAGGAGATGTGTTCAAGAACAACCTCAGACCCTATCGGAATATCTGAATATACAACCTGACATCCATGTGCGATGTTGGCTTATGTTGGTCCGGCATCCAGGCAGCTCCCACGATAGCTCGCTCGCTGGGAGTCCCATTGGTTCCAGTTCGGCCCCTGGCTCCATAGAGCGAACGAAGGGCCCCTGGTTCCGACGTGGTTTGCCTGGGACGGGATATATGTCCCATACACTCCATATATGGAATATGCCTACATTGGTGCCAGGGGGGTCTTTCTGGGGCGGCAGTCCTTGTTGGCAGTCCCATTAGTCGTGTATGGGTATGTACAGCTCTATGTCGTTCCCCAACGAGGTTCTCCGGTGGTGCCTTTCTCCTTTCTCCTTTGGTCTGAAACGAGCTATGCCAACGGCGCGGACCGGCAGGCAGTCAGTGAGGTCTGTTAGGTACTCCGCTCCAAGTTGTGTTGCACGACTGTAGAACGTCTATAGAAGACTTACGTTGGTACAGTACGTACCGTGTTCACGAGCGCCATGTCACCCAATGGTGTTTCAACTTGGACAGGTTTGGACCTTGTGTGGCAGGCCATGTCATTTGGTCCTTTTCGTTGGTGCCCTTTTTGTTTGCCCGTGCATGTTTCATCGTCGAACAAGATGCAGTTTCTGAATGGCCTGCCTTCTGAATGGCAGGCCATTGGAAAAAATAGAGTGAGGCTGACCGTCTTGGGCTAGGATTCAAAACGACCTGGGCTCCACTGGTTAGGCTGACCTTGTTGGCTAGGATACAGCATTAGGCTCATTAGGCTGGCCCCACCGGTATGGATCCTTTTCCAAACGATCCTTATCGAAACGATCTCCTGTAAGTAGCGTATGGTAGTCTAGCCAGGACACCCAGACAGGATGATCCTCGTATGATTTGGTATGTAAAATTCTGAGATAGCTCCTCCCAATGGCTGCACTGGAGTTCTCCCACCCAATCTCTCTTTTTGTCGCGGCGTGGATTTGGCCTCAACCACATCGGAGAAGAGGAGAGGAGCTCTGATAGAATCTAACAACCCTCATCTGGCAGGTGGGGAAAAAACGCGAAGCCCAGATCTTCCACACCCACAAAGCTGGAAGAGGTCTGCAGATCGGCACGGAACGCACGGAACAAACACCCGGGTGCGAGTCAGTGACTGGAAGAGTTCCCTATATTGATGGGTCATGTTCTATCCCTTACACTATATATGCCTACATTGCCCCCCCAATGTAGGCATATACGGCAGTCCCATGGAGCGCTTGGGTGTGGGGTAGATGGTGCTGAATGTGTAATTACATATGTAGTTCTTTCAGTCCCAGCCCAGGTCATCATGCACAAGTGTCACCAGCACCCAAAAGGCGCGATGCGTTGCTCTCGGCGAGTGTTGTGGTTCAGTTGGTGCTGAGCACCAAGTGACCCAGGATGATTATATACTAGTACTTTCACAGACGAACTCTTATGAACTAACCACCTTTTTGGAGATGTAAAAGCCATGCTGATATAGGAGTTTTCATCATCAACTGTCTACCAGCACCCTCCAACAGGTCTCCTCTGGTGGCTTTTGGAGACTTAAAAGTCGCAGGTGGTGACCTGTTGGAGGGTCCTGGTACATGAGTGTTTTTGGGTCCAAGCCAAATTTCTACGAGATGGGACCAGTGAAACATCCAGTCTTCCGCGGCCACCGGGACGAAAGCGACGCGCATTCGGGACGCTGTTGACCGATCAGATGGTCCGACGGACGTTGGATCACCTGCCCAAGCTTGTTATTGGCCCCTAAGGATCCCAATAGCCTCTGAGAAGATGTTTTGGGGTGGGTTTGGAGGGTTCAAGCACCTTTTGAGGTACTTGGATCCCTAAAATGAATTGGTTTCCCCACTGAACAGGTGGAAAAGTTGGTCAACCTGTTCAGGGATGGACACGGCCGAAAGGGCCTTGGGAGTTAGATCAAGCTCGGAATGACATGGGTTCCCCTGAGTCATTCCTTGCCCTAGTCATTCCGCCAGGGGAAAGGCACTCCGATGAGAAGGTACACAAAAGAAATCATCGTGAAAGTTGAGTTCACCGCCTGAAACTACTGGTCGCCCAAGTTAAGGGACCATTTTCCATACAATTTCCCGGGGATTGACTCGGATTGATCCCAAACCCGAGTTGTTGAAGAAACGCGCCACTGAACTATTGAAAGGCCAATGTTGTTGAGGTGGTGTAGCAGTTGGACTTAACAAGGCATGAATTTGTTCTCGAGGAATGCTATCACAGTCGGGGCAGGGCATTCTGCAGAAACAACTGGTGATGTCGTAGAGGGCCTAGTCCTTTGTGGGACTGATGGCCAAGTCGTAAACAGGGTGCTTAAGGCATTTTAACTATCAAATTAAACACATATTAGTTTGGAACCTATGATTATGGTGAGGTCGTGGATCCATATGTGTTAGGCGCAACATTGGCAAAAACCAGTGGGTGGTCATGGGATTTCAACACACACGTGTTGCTCGCAAAATGATAACACCAAAATCGATAGTGTGACGGACGGGAACAACGATAACGCACACCAAATCCTGATGACCTGCAACTCCACAACAAATCTTGATCATTCTTGACCATCGTTCATTTAGAATTTGGTCAACTCCCCGCGGTTGAATACCATCACTTCGAAAAGCCGGAAAGTTGAGCAAACTATTTTAGTATATGTGGGTCATTGGATCAATACCACAGTCATCCACTGTCACTTGCGCAACCCCAAAAGCTCTTTTGGTGCAAACATTCGTGGAGCTGAGGAAGAGCTCTAACGACTCACCACTTCATCTAATGTCCAATTGACAATAAGGGTTTGTATTTCTATGGTTATTTCAATAGCGGGACAGCCTTCCTGGCGTCTATGTTTCCGAACCGGGAGTGGAGAGAAGTGAAACGGTCTCCCTATGAAATATACATGCACCCACCGCTTGAGCCTTGGATTTCCATCCCGAAACAGGTCTGGAAGATTTGCCAGCCCATTGACTAGAGCCCGAAAACAGCAGAAACTACCCAGGAAAAGGATGGGACGGCAAATCATCTAATCATATGCATGGTGAGGAATTGAACATCCATATGAGTTACAGTCTGTTATCAGTCGAAATCGGCTTCATGGGTAGAACAACGCCGTTCCACAAAAACAGATCTTGCGGATGCATGTAGATCAGAAGAAGAAAATACAGTATATAGTTCCATAGACCTTAGGATTCGTGGCGCACCATTGATTTCAAGTAGTAGTTTCAGAATAGATGGCACAACCCTCAAGATGTTTTGCAGATGGGTGTCCATATAAGCCACCTTTTGAGGATTGTGCCATCTACTCTCAACCTACTATAATATTATAATGTGTTTTATGGAACACATTGTTTTACTCAAGACTAATTACTGTACACAAAAAAAACACCGGTTCTGTCCCATGTGTTTTCATGGTCTTGGAAGGCGAGGGTGCGGCTTCGCAGCAGAAATCGGCTGATTCACTGGATGGATCGGCTGAATCGATGGTGCTCGGGCCAGTGCCCCCTCTCTCAAGCGTGCGCGTTAACACCATCTCCTGGTTTTGCTTACGATATCTGAAGATGATATGTATTTTTCCGTACTATTCATTCCCCTTTCTGGTGAATCTTTTTCATTTTCCTCAGGTTCCTCAAGCGGCAAATCCAGCTTTGCCACCACCCGTTGCTGCTTCCTTCCGCCCACACCGGTGTCGCCCCAGTTTCGCGCCGGTGTCGCGTGTCGCCACGTCGCGGGAGGGCGGGCCGAAGGGGCGTCGGTTCTGGTCTTCGACCGAGGCACGAAAGCCATCGTACTGCTCCTCCCTGGGGTCCACGGCGGCGTCGGTCCGTGCCGCACCGAGCGGGACGTGTCGGGAGCACCGCACATCGAGCGGGACCACGTGAGGGTCAGTGGCGCCAGAGTCGGAGGTGTTCGGACGGATGTTGATCATGATTTTACAAATGCAAGACGGGAAGTTGGAATCCTCCACCTACTCAGATTCCTATATAGAACTTCATAAGAGGTGAGACTTCAATATGATTCATATATATATATATATATTCATATATAAATAGATACCGTCTTGAATTGTAGAATCAACCGTTTGCATGAAGAACATGGGCCTTCGAACAGTTCCTGCAGCGGTCTCACCAACCAGCCTTGCGCTGAAGCGCTGAAGTCCATGTTCCATTTCCTGCAATTGAAATTATATATGTAAATTTGAGTTTTTTACTTGTTTGACTCTTAACAGTCCTAGTCCTAGTGCATGATACCCTCATAAAACAAATCACACATCCACTCAATATACATAATCCTAAAATCATATCATATTGGATTTTGTATTGTGAACATCTATGACATGATTGCATAATGTATGAACAGTGAGAGTGAGTGTCAAGAGTGAGTGTGAGGGAGAGTGCGGGTGAGTGAGAGTGAGAGTGAGTGTGAATGTGAATGCGAGTGTGAGTGAGAGTGAGTGTGAGTGAGAGTGAGAGTGAGTGTGTGAGAGTGAGTGTGTGAGAGTGAGTGTGAGTGAGAGTGAGTGTGAGTGAGAGTGAGTGTGAGAGTGAGTGGGTGAGTGTGAAAGTGAGTGTGAGTGAGAATGAGTTTGAGTGTGAGTGTGAGTGAGAGATAGTGTGAGTGAGAGATAGTAGGAGTGAGAGTGAGTGAGAGTGAGAGTGAGGGTGAGAGAGTCAGTGTGAGGTTGTGTGTGAGTGTGAGAGCGTGAGTGAGAACGAGAGAGAGAGAGAGAGAGAGTGAGAGTGAGAGTGAGAGCGAGAGCGAGAGCGAGAGCGAGATGAGCATCTGAGAGCACAAAGTGCTGCGCCTGCCCCTGAACTCTGGCTTCGCTTAGTTGGCCAGTTGGTTTGGCCCTTTGGTGTTTGGCCAAAATCAAGCAAACAGTGATTGACTTGCGCCCTGAGTGGTTGATCGCACTAACTAATCACTTGACAAAGCACCCTTTGTGTAGCACCAGAACATTGGCTGCAGGATGTCAATGACCGTGTCCAAATGCTGCCTTGCCAAACAAATTTGGGCTGGTGGGAAGTCTTAAAATTGTCCAGGGTGTTACTTTTTTGCAGCTCAGTAGCTCTAAGTGAAGTGGGATGGCTACTAAAATCTCCATGGCAACCAACCCAACCAACCCTGATCAAAAATTGGCTGCATAAGGCCAGGGCGCAAGTCAATCACTGTTTTCTTGATTTGACCAAACACCAAAGGGCCAAACCAAATGGAGAACTAAGCGAAACCAGATCTACTCAGAAAAAAAGAATAAATAGATTTTTCTGCAAAACACAGGGTTTTCTAAGGCACCCAGTGAGGCTCCATGCATCGATGAAACTTAAGAAAATTTAGGACGGATTGGTTTTTACAGGGTTTTTGTGGTTTGGCAGACTTTCTCATGTTGAAAAATGTGCACAACCACACGTTCTGTCTCTGAAATTACTGTAATCCTTTTAGGGGATGATTCGAATCATCCTGCAGAGACTGGCTTGTTGAGAAGTTCCCTGATCTGAGAGAAAGTGAACTTTGACAGCCAAATAAGTGGTTTAAAGGCATGTCCTAGGTCATAGGGCCCATTAGATCATATAAAATGAGTCATATCAGATCATGTGAGCGTGCCCTTGTCACTTGACAATATTTGTTCGTGACTTGTCCAAACTTGGTTTGCCTTGCCCCATCCCTCTCAAAAAAACGAAAAGCATCGGACGATCAACCTCGACCGCTTGTGCCAATGATTGGGATCTGAGGTGTCGTCAGCCAGGACAGGACTTTGACGAGCGGTGCCTCTATGCCAGCCTCGCACAAAGGTCGCGACGATGCGCGGGTGGAATTATTGGAAAGGATTGATAAATTCATGGGAAAACCTAAACAAAACCAAGCTTGACGTGCACCAGACGTGCATCAAACCAAAAAGACCCATTCTTGGAATAATTTGTTCATTCAAAAGGTACAAACACGACTCGTGCATAGTAAAATGAGCGCAGCTACATTTCGGATCAATTCGTTTTTGGGATTTGCTGTTGGGAGCGGCATCATGGGGTGAGTTTCCACTCGCTATTCATGCCGATCCAGTTTGCGGTGATTGGGGTGCGAATTCACCGTCGACATCTTGAGAATCCGGCCGACCATGTGTGCCGAGAATCACCCAAAACCGGTCCATGTATGCGTAGCGGATCCTAGGTGATATGTGATTGTCCCGTTTCCTGCGTAAATCCCCGTGCCTGGCAAATATGATGGACTATGAATAGATAAAATATAAATATATGGGATTTCTTCTTCAGGTTCCTTAAGCAAATCCAAGTATGCCTGTATGCTTGACCTTCCAAAAAGACAAACACCCAAACGTGATTCGGTCTAAGTCATTTTTGCCTCTAGACCAACTCCGACCCCTCGCCATTGGTTTCTCATCGATCATGGTTTCCATCAGTGGAGGGAGCGATTCGAAGCTGGAGGTCTCCATACGGAGATGGGTCAAAATCTGGAGCTTTGGTCCATCAGCAAACGAAGTTTCAGGTACATAGTTATGGTCAACCAAGGTTTCCCCTTCCTCCCTGACACTCTAATGCTGTATCAAGGGGTATGGAGAGCCTTCAGATGCCCGCAAGGCGTGTCAACCGCTCGGCTTTTTCAGTGCTACCCAAACAGCCATAGATGGGGCAGACCTCACAAAAGCCAGACCTCAGGAACCTGCAGATATCAGCCGATGTGATTTTCCACGCCGCAAAAGGCATGGTCTAATGGAACCTCTATTCAACAGGCCCAAACACGACACGTTTAGGACTGCCTACAAGGACTGCCCCCCCAGAAAGACCCCCCCTAACCACCACCCCGGTGACCGTTTCTGCAGTCCTGGCTGGCACTCCCATCGACGTGCCGTGGCTGGGAGGGAGTCATTTCGTCCACTTTTTTCGACTCCGCTCGGGAGCTGCGCCAGGCTACACGAGAGGGAGATCCCCGCCGATCTGTACCGATGCTCCTGGCCCTTTATGTCACTTGGACAAAAAACGAGCCGTTCCTTGACTCACCAAACGAAGAAAACGAAGGCTTACAGGTTTTGGGTTCAAATTCAGATCCATGATTGACCGCGTTTAGTTGGTAGACATGTATTTGTTAGAACATGTTAGATCCGAGAGCTTCGGTGGTCAAAAGCCTCAGGGGCCTGGGGGGGGTTCTCAGCAAGTTCACCAAATTCACCTACCAGCACCCGACTTCGCAGGTGTTTCCTGGTGACAGGTGTCCAGGTTCACCACCTGTGATCGGGTCTCCAAACAGCTGAACCGACTGGGGGGTCCTGGTCGTTTTGGACGGACCAGTCAGGCTGTTTGTTTGGGCGTTGCCTTGGAGTCAAAACCAGCTCAACCTGGAAGCCTGGGGAACAAAACACAAGCTCCGTAGACCAGCGGCGATGCGTTCGCCAGTCCAAAACCCTCACGCCCGGCGTGATGCCGGCCTGTCGGAGGGTCCTGGTAGGTGGTGCCCAATATACATGTTTGGGGTGCCAGGACCGAGCCCAAGCCAGGTGGTTAGACACCCCCAGCCGAATCACCTCACCTCACCTCTTTCTGAGGCTATGGACATAGACACCCCAAGTGGTGTCGGTCCTGTTGGATTTGCTGTACAGGTACCGGGAAAAGATCAATCCAGATTCACCAGAAGGGGAGTTCACCTATAGGGAAAAAAAGAATGAAAAAGAAGCAATCAACTTAAACAAAACCAGGATCTCTACTTTTCTGTCTATTTGGGGGTCTATATCTAGTTCTTTCGCCGAAGGTCTCGGCCGAGGGTCTCGGTTTTCGCGGTTTGGTGAAGAAGGACCACGCCCACATGACGCAGACACGTCGACGGGACTGCCAGCTGCCAGCCAGCCGAGAACCGGTCACTGGGGTGGTGCCGTTTTGGGGTCTTTCTGGGGCGGCAGTCCTTGTAGGCAGTCCCAGACGTGTCGTGTTTGGGTATGTTTGGGTTATATCATGGGCTGCAGCGTGTGATGCGAGACGGCGATTTGATTCAGCTTCCGTCAGACGAAACAAAACACGGGAATTGCAGGTTCTCAAAAGGCACCTGGGACCACCAAACGTACAACAATATATTACACTCATTTACACTCTGGGGGGTCTAGGCATTTTTTTCGGATGCTCTCACATGTCGGCGTGTGAGACACCGTCGTCAGAACATGTTTTGAAGTCTCTAAATGCACAGCTACGAGATTCCTCGACACACGTTGGGCTTTAGCCTGGGAACTTTTGCAATCAATTAAATTGAGTCGTTATTCTTGAGACGAGTTCAATACTTGAAGGCCCAAGTGTTTGATTTTTGGGGGCATGAGGTCTTTCGTGAAGCGAAAGCTCAAGCTCTTGTTGTTCATGCTTTTGTGCCAGATCGAAGTCCATTAAGCGCAGAGGGATTGCGCCTATGCACCTCCCTGAGTCTCAGACTCTTTGCATCCTCAAAAAAGGTTTGGTTCCTTAACTGACTTGCCCGGGTTGCCCAGGACGCTTGGTAGGGGACCATGTCAAGTATATAGACCCCCAAAGACCAGGACCCTCCAGTCGGTTCGGCTGTTTCGAGACCCGACCACAGGTGGTGAACCTGGACACCTGTCACCAGGAAACACCTGGACTGGAGGGTGCTGGGATAGAAAAGTAAAACGAACATGCATGTTGAAAAACCGTTTCTATCTATTTGAGGAGCACCATAATTTATCATCTACAATCTACCAGCACCCTCCAGTCCAGGTGTTTCCGGTGACAGGTGTCTATGTAGGCTTGGGGGTCCCAATTACCTTCTGAGAAGGTATGTGGATCCATAGGGATTGGTAGACCCGGTGGAGTTGGTCGCCACACATGTCGGGTGTTGGTAGACTTGGGCGAACACAGAGGATTCAGATCCACTTGAGGCGGCCACACATTCAGAATGCAGTGAAGGGCGTGGTCCGCGCATTGCACTTGGCCCTCTTCAAGGTGCCAGAAACGAGCACTCCGCCGCCCAGAAACAGGTGGAAGAAGGTCTCCATGCCGAGCACCACGTTCTTTGGCCACAAGACTCTGACAACTCGCTGTTGCGAACGAGGAAAATGGTCTTTCAGCCAGGATGTCCATGTCACCATGATTGCAGGGAGGGTCAACATATGAAGAACCATGGGTACATCGGACTGACACCAACAAAGCCCATCCAAGGGACCTGACATCTTGACCGCGAAACGGTCACCGGGGTGGTGACTGGGGGGACAGTGGATCTAGGCGCTCGACTCAGGAGTCACAGTGGATCGCATCTAATCCCTCACAGTGGAGTCGGGTTTTTGGGTCTCGGGATTTGGCGGTTCCACCTGCGAGATGCCTTGACTGAGGAGATTGAGGGTCTGGAAAAGACGAGTGGAATTCCAGCTGCAGAGTTTAGTGTCCACTCTGATCATCCACTTGAGTGTCCATGCTGTTTCTTGGCGGTGAGCGAAGGCAGCAAAGCGGACCCTTTTCCCTAGCCAGGACCATGTAAAAACTGGTTGACCTGGTGTTATGATCGTGTCAAATCAGTATCGAATGGTTGTTCAGGATTCAGAACAATTCAATCCCGGTCCATGATCTCGTTTTACTGGAGTCTGTCATACAAAAACAACAAAGGCTTAGGAGGTAGAAGACCCAGTTGAACCTGAGTCGGACAGGACTTGTAGGGAATACTTGCAACGCCTCAACGGGCTTTCCCAACGCCTCAGCCCGGGAGGTCGAAGAGACGACGGTCCACGTGGCCTGAAAAGCAGTTTACAATCTGTTCATGAATCAAGAGTCTTTTGAGATCATGTGTTGCTTCATAGCTAGGGGCTGATTCATCAAGAATACTATCCCTAGGGATCCAGTCGTACCTTCTCAGGTACGGTGATTGGAGACACTCTGATGTGGGTTTTGAGGGTCCAGTCGTACCTTCTGAAAAGGTACTTGCATCCCTAGGGTATAGTACATCTGAAGTCTTCATGTTGCAGCCGTTTCCTCCGACGCTTTCCAGGGTCACGGGCGCTTTGACCGCGCGCCGCGCAGGCCAGAGTGGCCGGACATCATCGGAGAGAGCGGAAGGTGAAGGTGATCCTCATCGGACACTCCCTAGGCCCTCCGCGGGCGGAGGGCTGGGCAGGACCGGACCGCCGTTCACCAGGACTGGTCCCTCTGAGCTATAGGCTTCGACTGCTTCGATGGTCCGAGGAAGATGAGGAAGCGACCACGACGAGCCCGGAAGAATCGAACGAGCACCCCGGAAGCGTTTCGCGAGATGGCCATCCTCCAACTGGTCAAATGGCCATCCTCCATGCTCAGCGAACCCACGTCTCTGGCGAAGCCACTACTATGGACCATGATGTTTAATGGACGTTGCAATGTGGAAGACATACAGATCTGACTTTGGGGGTTTTGGTCTAGCTGCACCTCCCCAAAAACACCTCCATGAGACGTACGTCGATGTGCGTCCTCCACGTCCTCCACTCTTTGATACGAGACCTGCGTCCGCCAGTGTGTGTAAAGGAAGTGCCGTCGGTGAAACAACATGTTTTTGTTTTGTGGAAGATGAGCCGTTTCAAGAACTTGTGTCGGTTCAAACCTTGTCGTTTGCAGCGCAAGCACTCCAAACGGTTGCATCTTTCTTCGCCGTTTGAGCGCTATGTTGTGCACCGGGTCAGCGCTAGGTTGTGCCGCTTTGCGAGGGTCATACATGCCGCTTGAACACACTTCTTCTATCACCACTTCAGGAAAAACACATAGAAAACACACAGACAAATGACATACGTAAGTTTTGTCAAAAACAATGTGTTTTGGAAACAACAGTAATTTTGCATGTTTAGGAAGATGCAAGTATAATTGAAGCTTCAAACCTTGATTTGGGCATCTTCATGGAAAAACCCAGGATTGAACCCGGGCTTTTAGGTGTGGACTACCAAAAACCAAAGTTTCTTCCAAAATCAAAACCCTACCAAAAAAAATCAATTGGCGTTGTGCGCTCAGAAAAAAGATAAGTTAGTTTTGTTGTTTCTTTTTTTATTTTCTTTTTCGCCGCTTGGTTCGCTCTGAGCGCCGCAGGTGCCTCTGTGGCGCTGAGTTGCGCCCTCTACTTGTGCCAGCAATTTGGAAGCGACGGCCGCAAGTGTCCGGTGGCCAAAGGAGGAGAACTTGGGAGGAGAGGGAAGCAAGAAGCTGCTAGGTGGAGGCCACGGCTACTAGGGTGGAGGCCATTGCTACTAGTAGCAAGAAGCTACTAGGGTGGAGGCCATGAAAAAGATTTTGCACAGACAGTGATATGTCGGGGTGATAGGGCGAGGGTTCATAGGCGGGCCGGCGCTTTTCACAAGTGGACCGAGCCAAGTTGTTCGTTCGGAAGGTTTTCACGGGGCAGGGCAGGTACGAACGAAGGATGCGGGACCCGCGCAAAGCGGGAACTGGGCGGGAAAAGAGTCTGAGTTTGGACCAGGAGAACTTGGGGACATTTGGGGACAATTATTTTGGATGTCATAGTAACAAGGTTCGCTACGAACGGGGCTCCTGGCATCGCGACTCGAACGGAGCGATCAGGCGCTACGATCGGGGCGGTTTTGACCGTACGACTAGGAGCAAGGTTCGCTACTAGGAACAAACGGCATCGCATTTGATGACCCAGAGGCGACCCACATGGGACTGCCATATATGCCGATCAGTTGACCCCTCATGGCCCACCCCAAATGCTTCGGCAGTCCTATGGCAGTCCCATGGAGCGTCGCGTCTGGGTTATGATTTGTATGATTCGGTGGGGTTGAGGAGTCAGGCCCGTCGGGTCCCAATGGTGACCTGGTTTGGGTCTTACGGTATGACTGGACTCAGAAGGTACGACTGGAGGCCTAGGGGGAGTGACCCTGGCCACGCGCGTTCTAGGTCGAGACCTTGATTGCTTGGAGCACGCCAGTGTGCAGGTGGCAGGCACCGGTTTTTGGGGCGGTAGCAGATCAGGTGGTGGATCTTCTTTGTGGATTGGGTTGGAGAGTTCAATGGAGTTGGGGTTGGTGATGAATCGATCTTGAGTAATGTATGACTTTTGATTAATACACCCCCCCCATTTTGAAGTGAACATCCTCTCCAAAAAGGGTGTATTAATCTAAGAGTCTACGTGCCAATCACTCTGTGAAACTTGGGACTTCGAACTTAAACGAACTGCTTGCCTGGAGCTGGCGGAAGTGGTTTCATGTGTGTTTTTTCCAGGTGGGGTCCCAGGACCCGGTCCTTGTTGAAGATTCTTGACATCGTGGTTTTCACCCCGAAGTCACACACCAAGTCACGTCCTTAGAGGCAGGTTACGACCAAAAGAAAACAGCAGATGATAACCAGACCATCCAGACCGTGTGAAATATGTAACTATTCCAGTCTCATAGAGATGGTCTGGAAACACAGTGAAACACCTTCAGGAGGATCTCTGTGATGAGCTTGCAATTGCTTGGGAGACATGTTGAGAAAGCAAATCAGACCTGCTTCCGGCCTTATTGGCTATCGGCTACAGCAGCCCAATGCTGATTCCAACCTGGACCAAGTGAACCTTCAGATGATTCATCCCCTTGAGGTTGCTGTGAAGGGCACCAAGTCTTTGGATGTCTTTGGTACGGTGCGCTGAATGAACCAACCGAACCAACCAACACGAAAACAGTTGCATTACCCCTATAGGGCTCCAATTACCTCCTGAGAAGATGATTCGGGTGAATTTTTGGGCGTCTATAACCACCGAACCTGAGGATATGGTTGGAGTCAGGTTGGAGCCCTAGAGATTTGCCCCGAGCCCTCCCAAAATCGACGTAAGGCAGGGGGCACCCATGTTTGCGGCGCCAAGGGTCCAAATTCTCCAGCTGTGCCACCTGGTCCTGTCGCTTTGGGCTCGAGGAACGAGCCGACGAGGCGACCAGCGTTCATGACGCGGATCAGCGATGCTTAACGTTATATTGTCCCGTTAAATAGGGGTAAATCCTCTTAAAATCTGGGGATCAATATAGATATGGTTTTCCAGCGGCTAGGTGTTTCGCCGCCAATCCGAGGCCGAATGGGCCTCTGCTGAGGCGTCTCGTTTGTCTCGACTCTTCAATCGACCCAACCCGTGGGACCGAAGCAAGTTCCTGTTTCAAAGGACCCCAGACGACCCTGGCAGTGCCTTGGCAGTGCCTTGGCAGTGCCTTGGGCTGCCTTAATCACATCATCTTCTCATGGTGTAAATCACCTTAGAATGCTGAAGAAAGAACGAATGCCATTCAGAATGCCATCATATCAATTGCATTGCAGGACTTCAATCCGCACCAAAATAGATGGTTCCCCCAAACAGGTTCCGAGGTTGTTTTGATTCGTGAATTCTGTGTTTCGACTCGTGTGTGTTCGACTCGACCGAGGGGTCGGAGAATTCGCGGAGGACCAACGGAGACAGAACACGAGCAGCCCCAAGAAATCCTCAGCTCCGGAATTTCTTGAAACCTTCCATGGTCCAATAGCCTCGAACTGGACTACGCATAATCTTTATCCATCGCAGAAATCCATTTCGGGCTGGCTAGCTGCTTGGGAGGGTCACCGAAGCCGCCCCAGTTCTGGGCGACAGGAATCCAGGCGGTTTCTGCTCCGAACGAGAGTATACGTGGCTGGAAACCAGCGGGGCGATCGCCATGGCGAAGCTGCCCCAAGAGTTGCAGGTGGCGCGACCGACGTCGCCCGTTTTCGTCGCCCAAAACTTCTCTGTGGAGACACAGGGTGCACCCTGTAGCACCCTCCTGTGCGAATCAAGTCGCTGTTCAGGACCTGGTGGATCGTAGTGGGACAAATTGGTAAAACAATTCGTTGTTCAGTCCATTATAGCATACGATTAATCAATATGACTTATAGTCAGCCATACCAGCACCACCCAGTTGGGGTGCTTAGATGGAAAATACCTCTTCATCGAAGCGGTTCGTCTCGGTCACTTCGTGATGTTCCGGAATCGCCGGTCATGGTCATCCCGGATCCACTGCCACCTTCTCAGAAGGTCATTGGATCCCTCAAGCCTACAGCACATAGTCTCCAATCACCTATCCCCAGACACTAATGGGACTGCCAGTCCGGACTGCCTTCAAAACGGCCAGGGGTGGTGCCAGGGTGGTCAATGGGTAGGCATATATGGCAGTCCCATGGAGTGTATGGGTACGTTACAGAAGGCATGGCGGCCCGTTCCCTCCAGGAAGTCGGTCTGACGGAAACCGGGACCAGTGAACAGTCACAAGGGCGGGACCCTCGTGCGGAGACTCTCTCGAGTTCGTTTGGTCCAAGATGAGACCGCCTCAAAATCCCTAGGGATCCAGTCGTACCTTCTCAGAAGGTGATTGGAGACACTCTTATGTAGGTTTTGAGGGTCCAGTCGTACCTTCAGAGAAGGTACGACTGGATCCCTAGGGAATGAACTTATAGCTATAAAATGGGTCTACAACACTCCCAGAATATGTTACATGGTTGGGTATTTGACGTGGAAAACACCACTGGTGACTAGCATAGAGGCACACGGATCCACAGGGCCCTGTTGGTGCGATTTCGAGTTTGGAGGGCAGAAAGGGGAGGAAGACACTGCAGAAGGGTCGGGCTCCGCACCACGTGCTGCGCGCGTAGCACGCGCATTCTGAAACAGCGTTTTGATTGAAGTGTTCAAAGTCAATGAATATATTCTAATCTCAGTTGTTCTGAAACAAAGGTTATCCACAAAACACTCAAAGCTTTCCTCAAAACTACGAAATCACAATCAAAAGTAGCTCGGTCTGGATGGTGATATGTGATAAACAGTGATAACCTCTCAAAATCACTCATCATCAAATCCAATCAAGTCTTAGTGGATCAGACAGAAGCCAATGACTGCAGGACAAAGAGAGGCTATTTGTATGAAGCAATGTGAATTGCTTAGACCATCTTAGACCTCTTCACCACAGACTCAAGTAGTTGAGAATCTGGATATCATGGTCAGGAAGCCGCCGCCAATGCTCCAAAAGTAATTCCTCTTTTACTCAGTGAGTGATGTGTTTGTATGATGAACTTTGATAGGTCATGAGTCATGAGGTTCATTCCTGACTTCAATCCAACCAACAGATAGGCCTCAGCTTGAGGAATTCCAATCCAACTCAGCAGCGCAGGGCTTTGTGAAGTACCTCCAGGCCTTGCCCCAGAAAGGCCGGACCTGGTCATGGGCCTACGCCCGTCCTTCCCTGGAACCCCCGGACACAGAGGTCGGACTGGACAGATCGGGGTCCATACCAGGACACTCCATGGGTCTATTTGCCTACATTGAGGTGGTTGAAGAGGGGTCAATGTAGGCACCAATTCCAGTCCCATTAGTCGTGTTTGGGATACAGGACCTTGCAACAGGTCTCCGTGTTTGGCTGGCTGTTGCATGCAGACGTTTCTTTTGGCCGTTGCGCTCGTGGTGACCTGTTGGCTGTCGGGTCCTGGTTTTCGACCAACCACAAGTCGCTGGTCTGGGGAGAACAGAGTAGCAAGCCCTAAGGCCCTAAGTCGACCAACAGAGGTTTTTCAGAACCCTAGTTCAACTATCCCAGTTGGTTCTGTATGTCCTTTTCCAGGTGCGGCCATAGTCCAGCAACACTCAGTTCGGGCTCAGGAACATCCAGAAGCCACCCCAAAACTGGGGGCTGCTGCCCGGTTTCATTGGGCATACAAGAGATCACCACGGAGGAAGCCACCTGAATTCATGGCTAGCCATCCGAAGACACTGCGGAGGTAGTTCAATGACCGCAAAGCACAAAGCTTGGCCTGGTGGTAGCGGATTGGTTGATCTTCCCCATACCTGGTGAAATCCCCTGGGGAAGATGTTGGCACTCAGGCAGCCCTGCCCTGGTGGCACTACCGCCACCGGAACCGCCAGCACCAGAGCCGCCCACTGTGCCAGTGGCCGAGATGCACGTGGTTGTGGCCATGGCGGTGGGTCTCAGGGATCAAAATGTAGGTAACATAGAACATACCTGGACCCTCCTGTCTGGGTGTCCTGGCTGGACTACCCCACACTACCTATAGGCTTCCAGACAGGGCACCCCTGGAGGGTCCTGGTATTCTATACCAGGACCTTCCTTCTGAGGTGTCTGTAAATTGCCTCTTAGATCCTCTTAGAGGTTACCAGGAGGTGTTCAAAAACCATTGATTGTCCCTTATACGGGGTGTCATGGGGTGTCCATCAACCACCCCGACTGGTGACTGGAGACTGTCACGGCGGCCGAGTGGCGCTCATGACATCGGCTGAGCCCAACTCGGACAAAACACGCACCTTTTGAACCCAACGTCGACTCCGGACCACCTTTAAACAAGAGTAGACTCAGTAGACAGTACCTGCATGAGTTTGCTCAACCCTAAGAATCCGAGCTCGGGCTGTCCATGGCAGGGGTCCGTGGCCGAACCAAACCCGTTGGTTCGGGCCCGGATTCTTAGGGAAGGAGATGTTTGGTGGTATTGGTTCCCGCCAAGCCGCCAATCCCAAGTATAGGTTCGGACTCGGTTTTCACCATGTTCCGAGTCCGCCGATACCCGGCCTGACCCGAGCATTCGGGTCCGGAGGGTGATGGTCCATGCCCAGACCGTACCAGGACCGAGCCCAAGTCCGGTGGTTTTGGGACACCTCCTGGGTCACCTCCTGGGTCGGCGATTGACAGACACCGAAACGAAGGTAGGTCCTGGTATGGAGTATATAGCTACCTACATTGACCCCATTGGCCCATCCCTTATATGATCGGTCACCATTCCAGTGATGGGCTGGGCATGGAACTCATACGGTAAGACGTATTATGCTGTTTGAGAATGCTTGATGAAGCTTTCCACGGTCGTTTTTTGGGGTTTTGGTTTCACCATGTTTCTTCAAAGCCGACCATGTGGGCCAATCCCATCCCCTAATCCCCTACATTCAACACCTATTCAACACCAATCCCTAG